AATCCTATCACTCACAACACTGTATTTCAGGATAGAACTTGAGATTGACTTTTTAACTATGAATGCAACTCCATTCTTCTGTTTTTCATTCCCAGCAGAGTATACCAAAGTGATCCAAGCTGGTCCATCTCATCTCATTAATTCCTAGTATCTTAATGTTAATACATTCTATTTCATTTTTCACAATTTCTAGTTTTTCAACATTCAAGCTACATACATTCTCTGTTCCAATTATTAAAGAATGTTTGTTATTCTTTTTTCTTATTTCGACAGACTTCCAATCTGGGCTTTATTTTAAACTACTTATAACTCTCTGCGTTTCTCTATTGTTCATAGGGTTTTCAGAGTCCTGTTATTTAATAAGTAGATGACCAGCCTTGCTTCCTAGTCTGTCTTAATCTGGGAGTTCTACTAAAACCTGTACACCATAGGTTACCCTTGTGTCATTTGACACACCAGTGGCATAGCTTTCAGTATCACAGCAACCCCAAGTTATCTCAGGAGAGCAAACTGACAGACAAGTGCTATACCAATTAGAACCATATTCTCTCCAAACACAACAAACTGATGATTTGTTTGTAATTCAGTCTTCATGCTAGCTCTGAAGCCTTAAACACCAGTAGTGGAAGACCAGATGATTGTGAAATTATATCACCCATGAAGAGACTCACAGGTTTTTTGAAAGACAGAGAGAAAGAAAAAACTTAAATGGATGTCAGAAGAGACTCAGAAAATTGCATTAGAGCGTCAAGTAGCTAAAACAAAGGGAAAACAGGCCAAAATAAGACATCTGAACAGATCTCTTTCAAAGAGCAGCTAACAAGACAAAGCGAAATATTAGAATATGCAGAGCTGGAACTGGAGAGTAAAAAGGGAACAACGTACTCTGCATTTCTCAAGCTGAGAAAACTGAAAACAAAATTTAAGCTTCAAGTTGCAATATTAAAAGATTCTATGTTTATCTATATTTAACAAATGACCCAGGAAGCATCAAAAGAAGATAGAGGGAATACACAGTATCATTGTACCAAAAAGGACTAACTGACAGTGAAAAATTACAGGATGTACCATATGAGCTGGAGCTAATGATAATGAAGGAGGAAGTAGAAGCTGCATTGAAGGCATTGGCAAAAAATAAGGTCCCAGGAATCAATGGGTTACCAGTTGACTTGTTTCAATTAACCTATGCAGTCCTGGATGCACTCAACAGTCTATGCAGGATATTTGGAGGATAGCTATCTGGTCAGTGGATTGAAATAAGTCCGTATTTGTTCCCATTTCCAAGAAAGGTGATCTAACAGAAAGTGGAAATTATCAAACAATATTAATATCACATACAAGCAAAATACTACTGAAGACCATTTAAAAAATGCCTAGAACAATACATAGATGGAGAAGTACCAGAAGTGCAAGCAGGATTTAGAAGAGGCCATGGCACTGGTGATATCACTGCTGATGTCAAATGGATCCTGGATGAAAGTAAAGAATATCAGAAGAATGTCTGTTTATACTTTGACTATGCAAAGGCATGTGACTATGTGAATCATAGCAGCTTGTGGGGAATGGGAATCAGAATGGGAATCCCAGAGCACTTAATGAAAAACCTATACTTAGATAAGGAGGCTATTGTGTGAACAGTGCAAGGGAACTACATGGTTTAAAATTAAGAAAGGAGTGTGTCAGGGTTGTATTCTCTTTCCATATCTGTTCGCTCTCTACGCTGGGCAAATCATTTGATGAGAAGCTGGACTCTGTGAAGAAAAATGTAGCATCAGGATCGAAGGAAGACTCATAAATAACCTGTGTTATACAGATTACACAGCCTTGCTTACTGAAAGTGAGGAGGATTTGAAGCACTTGTTGCAGAAGATTTAAAGAATATGGCCTTTAATATGGATTGTATCCCCAAAGTCAGGAAAACAAAGACTTTTACTACATCATGATAGATGGAGAAGAGAAAATATTAAAATTGTCAAAAACTTCATCTTGCTTGGATCCACGGTTAACATCCTTGGTACCAGCAGCCAGGAAATCAGGAGATGCATTGCACTGGGAAAGCCTGCGGTTAGAGACCTTTCCAAATTATTGAAGAATAATGGTGTCAGTTTGAGGACTAAGGTACGTCTGATTCAGACCATGGTGTTTCTGATCACTCGCTGTGTATATGAGAGCTGGACAATGAATAAGGATGACATAAGAATTGATGCCTTTGAGCTGTGGTGTTAGAGAAGAGCAATGAACATTCCATGATGGCCAAAAGAACAAACTAATATGTCTTGGGAAAGGGCAGCTAGAATGCTCTTGAGGCAAAGATGATAAAGTTTCGCCTCACATACTTCAGCCATGTTCCTAGAAGGAGTTAGTCGTTGGAGAGAGACATGATGCTCAGAAAGGCAGAGGTTTAGCAAAGGAAAGGAAGACTCTCAACCAGGTAGCTGGACAGTGACTGCCGCAGTAGGCTCTAATGTGTCAGGAAGTGTGAGGATGGCACAAGGTTAAGATCTTTTGTCCATAGGGTCTCTGTGGGTTGTACTCATTTCGATGGCACCTAACAGCAACAACAATTGATAAAAAAAAACCAGGAATTGTAATTTTTTCTTTCCTTATCTTCCTGTATTTCTGAATGTATCCAATTAACCTCAGTTCAGTCCACTAACTTCATATCCCATTAAGTACAACATAAGAGCAGCATCATTCCATGGATATTCCTTAACCCACCCAGAGTCCAAATGTTTCTTATTCTTTTATTTACCCCTTTTTCTCGAAAGATATATGTTACAGAGAGTCTGGACATGTATAGCAAATCACACAATCCTAACACCAGTGAGAGATTGAGATTGTTTACAGCTTTAGTTTGCTTGGCTCCACAGTCAACACTCTTGGCACCAGTAGCCAGAAAATTAAAAGACATATTGCCATGGGAAAGTCTGCTGTTAGGGACCTCTCCA